CCGTACCTTGACGGCGCCCTCATTGATGACCAAAGAACAACGATTGGAGCTTTGGAATCAACAACAACAACAACGCGCCTTCGAGTTGCAGCGTGGTTTATATGGTCAGCTTGTCAGAAATGGCCAACTCACCTCAGGACGGTCGGTTACCGCTGGGGAAGGAATTGTGCTTATGGGCCGAAAGGATGTGAATAGTGTCGCTTGCATGACAATTCCCCAAGAAACACACCTACTGGGTACAGACAGTCTAGCGGCGATACATAAAACTAGTTCATCCTCGGCAGGTCTCTGCTCGGGCACCCGAAGTGCGGCGGGAACCTCAAATATACTATTACGCTCGCATAGCGGCTTCATTTCACCGATGTCCATGCCTACCGGGACCGCGTATGGGGGTCCAGCAAAAGCACTTAGTGAGACAAGAACTATCTTCGGACTGCGACAGTCGATGCAAAACATCCTGGAAACTGTGAATGATCCGAGCGAACCGCGGGCTGGCATTCGTCAACGGCATCGCAAAGAATTTGTTCGTACATGGAGCCGAGAGAAAGTGATAGTCACAGAAGTCCGTGTAGTATCTCGGCCACCTTCAGCCGGCCCTTCGAGTACCCTTGGTTCGAGCTTTAATATTGCCTCGCAAAATGAGTTCTCAGTTCCCAGCGAGGACGATTTCGGACAGTCACTCGGAAACTGGACTGGAAGAGAATTGCGTCAGCCTAGCCCCAATTCGCCCACAGCCTCTATGACTTCCTCTACATTAGCCTCGGGGGCATTTGGCCGTCTTGTTCCGATTCGCGTTGAGGACCCGAGTCCAGAGCCCGGGACTCTGAAAGCTCCAATCGAAGTGGTTAGTGCTCTTCCGGACAGCGAGCACACCAAAATTTTAGAAACGTCGCTAATAAGTGGTACAATTTTGTATTCTGCGGAAAACTCGGGCACTGCGAAACTTGGCCAATTATCCAGCTTCAAGATGCAAAGTGGGATCACCAGGTCTTTAGAATCAAATAAGGCTATTGATGTTCCTGTGCAATGTGAATCTACTTCTAGAAAGTTTGCAAATGCCTCAAAGCGACCCACAAGTTTGCCACTAAAAATGAATAGGTTAGGAAGTACAGGTCTAATTACGGCGCAGATTCAAACTTCTGATTATTCACAGAAATATAAGTAAGTTTATAATTAGACAGAGTAGATTTCTGTCGAAGCACAGGGTCATTGATTTTTAATTTTTTTACATTGCGGCGTTCTAACGTCCATTCTTTTTTAACGATATAATTAATTAAAGTCTATAAAGGACAGGTGAATGTAATCGTAGTTAAGCGTTCAGCTTCAATTAAATTCGCTCCTGATGGCATTTTTTCATAAAAGAGGGTTTACTGGAAATTTTAAATAATATGAAATTATTGTGGGGTTTATTACATGATGCAGACTCAAAGTTGACAAATTAAAGGTATAACTTTTAGAGGGATAATCTGTAAAATGAAATATTTTTTCCAAATTTATCTAATAAAAATCTAGCCGATTGTAAGATAAATATTTATAAGTTCCATTCGATAAGATAGTCGAAGTTATTTAGTAGTTTATGTCTCAACCAGAAATGGTATGAGATACCATGTTAGGATTAAAACCAGTTTAAAAGCAAACAAACAAGTTTGTAAATCCGCATAAGTATTATAAAATTCGTGAGCTTACTTC